CTGTACCACACCAACAAGTCCAATCTTCAGTAGTACTGTACCACACTAGCAAGACCTATCTTCATTAGTACTGTACCACACCAACAAGTCCAATCTTCAGTAGTACTGTACCACACTAGCAAGTCCTATCTTCATTAGTACTGTACCACACCAACAAGTCCAATCTTCAGTAGTACTGTACCACACTAGCAAGTCCTATCTTCATTAGTACTGTATACCAACAAGTTCTATCTTCATTATTATTGTACCACACCAACAAGTCCTATCTTCATTATTATTGTACTACACCAACATGTCCTATCTTCATTAATATTGTACTACACCAAGTCCCATCTTCATTAGTACTGTACTACACCAAGTCCTATCTTCATTAGTACTGTACTACACCAAAAAGTCCTATCTTCATTTGTACTGTATTACATCAAGTCCTATCTTCATTAGTAATGTTCTACACCAACAAGTTCTATCTTCATTATTATTGTACTACACCAACAAGTCCTATCTTCATTAGTACTGTACTACACTAACAGGTTCTACCTTCATTAGTACTGTGTTATACCAACAAGTCGTATCTTCTTTAGTACTGTATCACACCAACAAGTTTTATATTCATTATTACTGTACTACACCAAGTCCTATCTTCATTAGTACAATGCTACATCAACAAGTCTTATCTTCATTAGTTGTATACTACACCAACAAGTCTTATCTTCATTAATACTGTATCACACTAACAAGTCCTATTTTCAATAGTACTGTACTGCATCGAAATGTCCTATTTTCGTTAGTTCTATACAATATTACACCAACAAGTCCTATCTTCATTAATTATGTACCACACCAACAAGTCCTATCTTCATTAATTATGTACCACACCAACAAGTCCTATTTTAATTAGTACTATACCACACCAACAAGTCCTATCTTGATTAGTACTGTACTACACGAAGTCCTATCTTCATACTTTAAAAATAACTAGAATTATTTAGCATTCATGAGCAACAAAGCTTGTTAACAAAAATATTACGAATTAAAATATTTTGCTTCATTTAAAAGATAAAGTTTTTTTACGAATTTCAACCTAAAATATCAAAGTCAAATACAGTATATTAACATGCATAACTGAAAAACTTATTTTATAAACAAATAGCTAAACCTAGCCTCACATCTGAAAGTACTTGAAAGCTTATATTTAATTCAAAACTTATTAAGTTTGTGTAAAAAAACTTTTAAATCAACGGTTTTAAAACTACTCGTTTTTACTGAAGAAGTATTTTAACAATTGATAATTCGCAATCTACCCGAGCGCCTTCGAAGAGTAGACCTCTTTTTATTCCCTTGTGACGAGATCTCTTTGACGTTTAATAAGGTGTTATATAGTCCTCACAAAAGTCCCAGTCCTCTAAAAACATTTGAGAACACTAAAGAATGCCTCAGTGTTCTTGATACGAATGTCTATAATAACTGTTTTTTAGTACTGAATAATATTTCCAGATAGAGCACTTACGTTAATGTCATTGTGACAATATATAGTAGAAGATGTTAACAACATTACAAGGTCGACAAGGTTTCTAACTTGATAACAGATCTGCTTACACTAACTGTTCTTTATATTTAGTAATCACAGGCCGAGGTGAAGAGCGATCGGTTATCGTTATTGTAATTGGCAATAATGTAAAACGATTTGTAGAATGTTTTACTCGGGCTTTGACTACTAGATAAGCTGATAACAGCTTTCCATCAAAAATATAATTTGTTCTGTGTGTTCTTAATGTTTTATAACACTGTCTAGATTTGTAGAATGTTTTACTCAGGCTTTGACTACTAGATAAGCTGATAACAGCTTTCCATCAAAAATATAATTTGTTCTGTGTGTTCTTAATGTTTTATAACACTGTCTATTTCATCATATGTTTTTTTCTGGTGCATACCTTTTTTTTTTTTACTATTATTAATCATACACTAAAAATGTCGTTCTTGCTCAATAGGAAAATAATACCAGGACAGTGGTTCAAGCCAACAACTAGTGTTGCTTTGTTCCCTAAGTAAGGTATACTATATTATTTACTTATTGTTACTTTCATCAACGGTATTAGTTAGACTGTTTAATATATGGAATGTTATTACTTTTTAATTTTAGTTTTCATTATTATACTTTGTTGCATTGTTTTGCAATGTTATCTTAATATATTTGTTTAAGACTAACTTAAATTTCCTAACCTGAACGAAACTTGTGAGATAATATTCGGATTTCGGCCGAAAGTATCTTTAATATCAAGGATACTCAATTGATAAAACAATACATCCTAATCTTTATAAATAGGAACGTAAAAAAGTTTATTTATTTAGCCATACTACTTCCCAGGTGTTTTTAGTTTCACTCTAAGTATAATTTGATATAAACCCACGATGGTTCACTTTAACACAGTTAGCCTAGAAAAAGAAAAAGACTCAATAAGGAAGCTCCGAATTCGGATATTTTTTCTTAAGTAAACGGAAATAAGACGCCGAACATGACTATACTTTACATCTTCCCCTTATATATTCTCAATGTGCATATAGTACAACATGGTTAAATGCTCTTATAAAACTTTCCTGATTCAACGTGTAATGATGATAATTATAATATTTCATTTTATTTTAATCATCATATAATTCTACAGAACTAAGAAAAGTTGCCTACCTGATTGGATTGGGGACGATCTTTATTCGAGGAAGTAAGTACTAAATTTTGGGCCCCCACATCTCCCATGGTTAGTTATTTCTACACTAGTGAAGAATTCAGTATATTTCTTTAATCAGGCATACCTTTTACTCACCTTGGATACGGGTGTTTGCGCATGGATTGACGTAAACAAAACCCGTAACAGCTCTTCCAAATTAAGCAACCCTGACGTCTGGTAACCAAAAAGAGAACTATAAACTACAAAATATTATTTTTTAAAAGATTGTGCAGAGCAATATAACTGCATAAGAAACAAAAAATGTTTGATATTACATAATCAAGACAATGTTTACAAACAAAATTAGAATATCAAGGTTATTTTTCTTTTATCATAAAATCAATCTACTTTGTAAGTCATTTAAAAAGCATCACCATTTACTTATCGATATTGTAAAATGTCCACATTTACAACTGTGGTGTTTACCAGCATGCATATATAGCGTAGTACTTCTCACACTTCTACGTAACTTAGAAATTGTTCTAAATTCGGTGAATTGTGCTTTTTTTTACAATTTTTGTATATACTTTTAATGTGAATTGTTTTTTTATCTATGCAGCTTCTGCTTCTAGTGTTCATTGGTTACATAGTCATTAAGAAAGTACTATTTTATATGTTGTATTTATAAATAGCATTCAATTAATAAGTTTAAGATAATTATAAATAATGTAATAAAACATAACTATAAAGAGAAATGACATAATTTATGGATTTTGATTTGGGTATCGCACTAATGACTTTATTGAATATTAGAAGTGAGGGTACTTTTATGCATGATGGATTGAATCAAACAAATCGTATGTTAAACAATAATATGCTTTTCTACAACATTTCTGAGAAAGTAAACAAATAAATATGTCATAGAATTGAAAATGTGTTTTTCAAACTCTTTAAATATCTAAGTTGAGTCACTCAATCCGGTCAAAACCTATCTCCGCTACTGAATATCTATGAGCCACATAATACTTTGATAGAGTTTTGCTTAGATTATTTTATTTGATACAGCA